TTTTATAGCAAGAAATCTTTCTAAATAGCCCTAACGAAAACCGATGCCGAAAAAGAGTGGGTCTTATTAGGCTAATCGATCTATTCGGGTATCATTACAAAGGACGAGGCTATACATCGACATTCATTGTGCAAGCTGCAAGCTAATCCTGGTTTCGTCCACCAGAAGCAGTAACTGTGTGGAGTACAAGCAGCTCCCAAAGTATGAAATAGCGAAGTCCAACTTTACTGTTTTGATAATACACGCGTATTCATACCCGCAAGTGCAGTCAAATCCATGAACGTGCACAGAAAAACTATAAACAAGCACACACATACGGCAAGATAGGATGCGAATGAAAAGGCACAAAAAAATGGCGTACTAGGATTCACATTTTTATACAAATGCTCTTATGTCCCCACTGAGAGAGCTAAAGAGACATTTCTTCCAGTAGAACTGACAGGGAGAAAACTTTTTAAGATGAATTGGATGTCTTTCCTTGACACAAAAAGATAGCGAAGAAGGAAAGAAGTTTGAATCCCTAGGAATTGGGAACAGTCAATTGGTTTGATCATTACAACAAATCGACGAGGGAGGAGGGACAGAGAAGGAGAGCGAGAGAGCGAGTAGGCTTTGCAGACTCGAAAACGGTAGGCTGAAATAGGTTTTTCTTCTCTTTCTAGTGAGGAACCTCTTCTCCCCCCTCAAAAGCCACCCTCAGTATAGACGCACTGCTACACCCTTCCATGATCCAATACTCACCAGAGAAAGATCTGGTGGCCAAATCCATTGTTTCTCAATGACACAGTTCTGATTCTAACAAAGAAGTCAGAGCTCCTTGCTTCCTTGAACTCCCTACCCGCTTACAGTTACTCCGTTGGCCTGGGCCCTGATCAATCTTGCGGCCTCCAGCTCTAGACTGGTAAATAGGTCATGTACTATTAAAGCGACTGGATCATCCGAGGTTGAATTAATGGGTGACGAGTAAAACAAGTGAATAATCAACACAGCTACAGTTTAACAACAGTAGATTTAATACGGTGACACAAATGTAGCTCTAAAACTACACATTTTAAAAACAGAAGTGCAAAAATACCTATAGCACCAGGCAAGTAGGAAAATATGTTACCTATTCAGAATTGATGTCTTCAATCTATCAAGTCAAAATTATCAAGATAAAAGTGCCAAGAGTAATGAAATGGGATTTACGGTGCTTGAGGAAATCCTCCTAAATCAACCAAGAGAGCTACACATATTTTTTTAGATGGAAGAACAAATGGAGTGTACTCAAGATATTCAATGTCTTCCTTCTAAAGGTAGTGTACTCAAGATAAACCTTTTGTGTTTATACTGAAACTCCCTTACCAAAAAAGTTGTGGAATCACTTCATGATTCTCCAAAAACTCTATGCCGTTTTCTCACCTAAGAATGACTATAGACAACGAGAGAGAGAGGGAGAGATTAAAATGAATTTCATAGAAACCTACCCTCTTCCTCTCACACCAAATCTTGTTTCTCACACTTTCTCACTGCCTCACAAAAATCTACATTCTGCCACGTTTCTCCTACTCTAGTCCCTTTTAAATATAGAGAGGGGAGAGAGAGTGAGAGATGAATAGGAGAATGATGGAACTTCTGCAGTTTTTTTCTCTTTGGCTGTTTCTGAAAAATGGGAAACAGTCCAACTGATTTATTGCAGAAGTAAAATAACCAAAAAAGAAAGTATATGGGAAATGTAGAGAAAATGGGCATTAGCCAGGAGGCTATTTTGCTTTCAGTGTAGGGTATTCTCAAGACCATAATCTTGTGCTATTGACAAGTACATGTCTCCAACAATGACATCGGGGAAAAAATATGTTGTTAAAAACAGTTAGAGACGAATTACCACAAGAGAAAGTGACATGATTTAATCTTTGTATAATAAATTACATAAATTTAAAATTTATAAAATTAAAAAATACTAATTTTTAGATTTTTAGAAGTATTTAAGAATGAATATATTAATTAAATTTTGATAAAAGCTCTAAAAATAGTGATAATTTCCTAACTTAATCATAGAGATATAAGATAATATTGTAAAATTTTAAAATGTTTGTCAAAGAATACGATGTTTTATGATTTTTGGACTAAATGATCTAAAGAAAATAAATTTAAAAATTCATGGAAAAAAAGAAATTTGTGTGCTGATGTTAGGATAATGTTAACACCCAACAAATAATGATTTGGGCAAAAACACAGTTCCTCTTGGTGTTTATTACATACACAATTATAGATGATTTAATTGATTAACTTGATCTATAAATGCCAAAGAATCGTAATTGAGTAAAGAAGAGTTTTGAAATTTAAAATCATACAAATTCTTACTAATTTAAAGAGTAACTAAGTTTAAAATAGGTAAAATAGTGATGTCATGGTAATGATTGCTAGAATTTTGGATGTTCGGAGGATTTTTGTGTAATGTTTATGACCCTAGAGGCTCTCCTAGGACATACACAACATGGGCAAACTCTAAATGCTCTTGTGAAGTCTAGACATTGATGGTGGAGGTCAATGAAGTGTCTCATGCAATTGTTACCCAGTGGAATGGAAGTTTAGTGGCAATAGATTCTTTTGCGACTATCACCTAGCAGAGATGAGTTGGATGAAAGTAGAGTGAGTTTGAGGGGGGGCTTCATCCTTAGGTCCATGTAGTAAGAAGAGGCTTGTATCGCATTTGATACACTCTGAAGAGGTGATGACTCCTCTCTTAGTAGATCATTCTATTCTCAATGCTAGTGTGTTCGTCGATCAACTAGAGATGATTTTCTTAATTAATTTGTGATCTTTTTATCTAGAATCCTTTATCACTTGGTAAAGATAATCCATAAATGACATTAATGAAATGTCCGTTAATGATGAAGTGATTTTGGTGCCTTAGTTATTGACCAGCAATTTAGAAAAGAATAACAAGCTACAATAAATAAAATTGTAAATTTTGACTTTAGTGAAATTTGAACTTTCACCGGTCATCTAGCTGCATGAGAAAGGGTTAACAAATGACCAAAATACTCTTGAAATAGTGAGCTCATGACCACATTTTCTTTTAATACTATAGGGGTATTTTTGATATTATTTTATTTTATTTATATTTATTTATACTAAAAAATATAAATTTAAAAATCATATAAAGTCACATAATTAACTAAAAAATATATATTAAATATTAAAAATATACTTTTTGATTTAACATAAATATAAAACTATTTATCAAGAGTTAAGGTATAATATATAGTATTAACTAATTATTAACTCATGATAATTAAGACTTATTAGAAGATATATTGGGGAGAGAGATAAAGAGGGAGAGGGAGAGGGAGAGAGAAAGTAAGAGACAAGTTGAGGAAAAGGGAAGAGAAGGCCAAGTATAAAAAGGAAGAGATTAAAATGAGACAAATGAGTGGAAGAAAGGCATATGAAAAGAGATTTATAAACTAAGAGGAAGACAATGAAAGATACAAAGAGAGATAGGTGGCAGGGAGTGATAACATGCAAATTCTACATGTTAAGTATGACAAAATCTAGACAATTAATATTTAACTTGGTAGAAAGTGACATTTAATTATACATAAAATAGGTGAAGCATAATTTATGAACAATACCCTAAAAACATGTCTAATTTCGTAAATTTTTCATATTTTCTATAACATGTATATTTATTTAAATACAAAAATCCATCAAATGGGGCCCAAGAGAGGAATATGGTAAGGCTATGATGACCACTTGTAGTTGAAGATAGAAATAAAGAATAGAGGGATAGGAAAGTAAAGGGGGAAGAGGGGAAAATAGGTCATTGTAAGGTTAGGGTATTAAGATCCCCTTGAACAAATGAGAGTGATATCTTTTGGAAAACTCTAGGGCTCAGTTGAGCTGGGGGGATGGGGGCGAAGTTTCTTGAACTACTTCCTAGGTTCTATTGGGGTTCTATGGAAACCTATTTATTTTATGTTCTACTTGAATATGTATCAAATTTATTCTTATTTCTGTTTGTCAACCCTTGGCAGCTGGAGGAAGGAGTCTTACCATTTTGGTATCAGGGCTGATGACCAGGAAGAGATGGCATTAAAGTTCTTAGATAATCGCCAAGAATCTGTTGAGAATGAGATCAAAATGGATCAAAATTATCCTCATCATCCTGAAAGAAAAAACATGGCAATCATGGGAAGATAGTAAAAAACTATTAGATGACTTCTCCAATATGTTTAATTATCTACTCCAATGATGAAAGAAAGTGAGAGAAAGGATTGCAGTCCATGACAAAGGGGGACTCGATGGTGGACCATGGACTGACCTAGCACGTGCACTAATCTCCTCATCTAGTGATGAAATCACATGATGAAATAATATCCAGCATACCACCTGAACTCAACACAGGTGTAGAGTGGAAAATCAAGAAGACAATGAGAACTTCTCCCTTTCAGCAGGGCCAACACAGATGGATGGATATTTCATGTTGAACTTTATTTCAAGATGCATCAATTAGGAATGGACGAACAGATGGAGGAGGCAAGTTTGAGTTTGAAGGTGATGGCTTAATATAGTATCTATGTACAGTAGAACCTTACTCTTTCATGAGCTGGTCGGACCTTAAGTAACAATTACTCATATGTTTTGGCTCATTCTCTTTGAGCAATGTATACCAACAATTTCTACATCTCTGACAAGAGGGAATAGTGACTGTATATGAAAAGGCTTTTGAGGTAATATCAAGTTTTCTCAAAGGCATGCTAGACATGATAATGGAGAGCAACTATATCAAGGGCCTTAAAGAAAAAATACAAGTTGAATTGAGTATGTGTAGAGTTGTGGGGTTGTGTGAGATTATGGATTTTTCTCAAAGGGCTAAATAGAGACTTGAGCATTGGATTTTAAGGATTTCCAAATAGCTAAAAATGGTACAATGCCCAATAGCAAATACAGGGTGAAGAAATGAACAACTGGACATACAAGATACATGTCCAAATTAGTATCAGCAAATTAGGTCAATGATTGCTCCAATAGTGGGATATCATCCAAGAAGGTGAAATCTAAAGGTTGCCATAGGAACAAGAAATAAGAGGATAAATTTGATAGAAGCAGAGCTATAAGTATGTAGAGAAAAAGGCCTTTATTTTCACTATAGTAGCTAGTGTGGTCTAAGAAATAGGTGTAAATGCCTTTTCCAAATTCTCCTGGTTAATGAAGAAGAGAAAAATGATAGAGATGTTGCTAAGAACCAATGGTGGGATATAAAGGACAAGGAGACAGAGGACCAGAAAGAGGAAACCCTCCAAAATCTATAGAGATATCATTAAATCTGGTGATAGGCTTAATGGAAGATATGATACTTAATGACTATGGGGTGATGCGTAATTTCATATGCAATGAATTAGTCACAAAATTCAATTAACCCTTTCATACATGACAAGCTATGGAATATTCTTGAAGAATGGATCTTGACTTTGTGGTAGAGGCATTTGCAATGGAACAATGATAGAGATGTAAGGACAGAGGGTGGCACAAGATTTTCTACCTCTTGGTTTGGGTAGTAAAATGTACAATAAGGATGCAGCAGCTAAGGTCCCTAGGCCCCATGGACTATGATCGAGCCACTTATCTATGAAGTTTCTATATGAGAACAAGTAGATGACTCTTTTAAGGTGACCCAAGTTTAAGTAAATTGAGAATCTCATTGAATGTACTAGTTCATGACATCACTAAAGGTCACTCATGGATGATATAACTTCATCAACTACATATAACTAATAATTCTAAATTAGTAGTTGCATCTATGTATTAATATTTTATATATAGATGCTAATTAGTGGGTAGAGAATATAATTATATATGTGTTACCGACTCATTAAAACATTCATAATATTTCATCATTTAAGTTTAAATACATATTATTTTACTTATTTTATTAATATTATGAGACTAACCCCACTTGACGTTTATAAAGTCAAGTGGTGATTCTCTTATATTTTCTTGATCATTATTTGATACAAGAACTAAGTGACCTCTTATTATGAGTTAGAAGAAATGGAAAAAGCCCAAGTCTTCAGCCCAAGTCTTATGGAGAGGGCTGGCCTAATATATTTATGGGCTTAAGAGAGGGCATCACTTTGGCCTAACTCATTTAGACTTAAAAGGGTTATCAAGAGATGAAATCTAGGCCACTCATCTTAGGGCACCTTAAGATAAGATGAAGAGGGGGATTAGAGCGCCATCTTCATGAAAAAATCTGGGCCGTCCACCAAGAGAGTTGATTATTAATCATAACCATTTATTAGGGGTGCCTAAGTATCTAGAAGTATAAGGCCTCTCGCCCCTTTCTTGGAGGGTGTTTTTTAGCTCTCTCTCTAGTAGTAGTTAGTCGAAGGAAATAAGAGGAAAATCAAGACTTGGTCAATGACATTCTCGTGCCTAAGATCATCATGGAGAAGAGATTACCTGGAGCATATCAAGATCATTATGGGTCAAGCATCACACAGCCTAAGACTCGTGCACAACAAAGTTTGTGCAAGATCTAGATTTGGGGCACCCTTGTAATCCCCTCTATGGATAGATCAACTGTTAGTTTGAACTAGTTTTACTATTTATTTTATCATTTCATTACGTTAGATCTATTCTCTCCCCTTTGTCATGTTTTTTGTTTTCTTTGTCTCCACCCTTGTTAGATTAATTTCGACTTTCACAATCTCAAGTATATCTATATATATGTATATAAGAAATAAAATTAACTAAAATTTGTACTCTCATTACCCACGCTCCTTGAGGATCGACCCTTACTTACCCTAAATAGAAGAGTGAGGTTTTATAAATATTATTTACATAAACTTGATTACATCACGATGACATATTTAACCTCTAATTCGAGTTCATCAATAACATCGGCTGATAGGGAGACAATAAAATTTCTAACACCATTGGTTCAAGGTAGAAAATCAACATTATAGAAAAGTAGAAGAATTACCACCTAATAGACAAGTGGATCACACAATCAACCTTACATTAGGTACCCAATTGATTAATTTTCAACCTTATTGCTACTCACACTTCCAAAAGAAAGAGATTGAAAGGTTAGTGTAAGAGATGAGTGCGGCAATGATTATTCAACAACCTCCCATCCCCCTCCCCAGCCCAATTCTTTTGATCAAAAAATAGGATGACAGTTGGAGGTTTTCTGTGAATTAAAGGGCTCTCAATAAGGCACTATCCTAAATTGATTTTTGATTCCCATAGTGGAGGAACTTCTCAATAAACTTTATGGTAAATCTTTTTTCCAAAACTAGATCTCAAATTAGGTTATCACTAGATAAGGATGAGGCCTAGAGACATAGAAGTCAGCCTTTCATACACATAAGGGTCATTATGAATTCTTAGTGTTGGTGTTTGGGCTGACCAATACCTTGCCCACTTTTTAGTCCCTAATGAACCAAATATTTCACCATCTTAGACACAAATGTGTCCTGGGTTTTTTGATGACATACTTATTTTTATTAGTAGCAAGGAAGATCATGAATACCATTTTCCACAAGTATTTGTACTCTTATCAGCAAATCAACTTCATATTAATTTTCCAAAATGTAAGTATGGCTAAAAGGACCTTGATTACTTAAGGCTATAGATTTCAACTAATCAAGTCATGGTGAATCAAGATAAAATTATAGTAATGCTTTACTAGCCAAACCTCACCAATATTTTTTTTAGGATATGGGGGCATAACTTGGGCATTGACATAGTAGTTAAAAAGGGATACATTCACATGGAATTAGGAGACTCTTCAAATAATCTATGATGAAGAGACTGGTCTTAACTCTATCGAATTATTCCAAACCTATTATATGACAAATCGACACATAAGTTATGGAAGAGTTCTATTAATACAAGAGCAATGATGAATTTATTGCCCAAACTCTTTCTACAAAAAAAAAGACTCAAACTAGTCTATGAATGACAACTTTTAGCCATAGTAATGATTGTACAAAAAGGTGCAACTATTTATTATCCAGACATTTCGTTATCATGATGGATTAGAATAGCCTCAAGCACCTCCTATAGCAGCTTCAGGTACCACCCTAATAACTCTCATTAATTACATGATAATATGTTTAGTATTTTATAATTGATTTTTTATTTTTTAGAAATATCTACAAATTACTTTAATTTATAAAAAATGAGTTAACCTTATTTATGTGATTTTGATGTTAATTCCTAGAAATTACATATTGAAATTGATCAGAACTATGTTGAGAGATTTTATTGATCATTATTATTATTTTTAGAATGATTTTGCATTAATTGCAATTTTTCCTGATTTTTTATTGATTTTTTATAAACTTATTATGATAAAAATAATAATTTAAGAAAAATGATATTCATGTGGAACATATGATTAATGCATGACCTCCATCATGGCCCGACCTTAATTGTTTTGGTGGAGATATTCAGAAATTATTGTGTTCCCTATATATGCCCAAAATTCACAGGAATTTTCAATATGGGACTAAAAGGTTTTTCAGATTTTCTACATCAATGAGCATAATGAATATGGTGAGAAATGTGGTGGATAATTCAATGAAATCAATAGAGTTTACACATAGGAAGATGGAAAAATAGTTTTAGAGGAAAAATCGATGATAATCAATCTATTGCCGTTTGGGAGAGTATTCTCTCTCCTCCAGCAGCTATGAACATCGGATTTGCCCAAATCATCTATCCAATAGAAAAGATAAATTTCTTCTCAATTTCTTCCTCATTCAACAGCTATAGAGGCTGAACATTGTCCACAAACTCATCCTATTCTTTGCTTGATACAAATAGTAAAAAAAAAATTCCAAGGATCCTTCTCTAGATGCCACGACATACTATTGTCACCGAACTATTGTCATCAATTAATTTCAGCAAGTGATAGTTGCTAGCTTCATCACTCATTGACTAAAGAAGATGCAAGAATCAGATCGATGTACTGTGCCTACTCAAATTGATATAATTCGGATAGAAATGACCATGCAACCTATTATTTTGAAAAACTTGAACCTTTGCATGATTTTCACTATTTTCCATTCAATTAAAAGTTATGTTCAATCCTACTTTGTGTTACAAACAATTTCTCCATCCAAACTAAAGCTTACTTTCTCCATTCAATTTAATTCCTACATTGTCGACGTATTTTTTATGACTCTGAATTTGGGGATGTTCTTTTTAGATGACATTTGGTACTGTCATAATCCCTAATTTAATAATTTAATCTTTTTTCTTTTTTTTGCAGTTAAAATTTCCAAAAGTTTAATCTATCAACTGAAAATCATAGAAGTATTTAACTATTTTTTTTTCTTCCCTATGTTTGACATGAAAAGTGTTAATAAAATTAAATATTTCTAAATTGGCTTATTTTCTACCATTTATGAATTTTAAATTTACTGAATTTTCTTAACGACGACAAAAAATATTCAGACGTACCCTAATATCAAAAATGATTAATCACGTTAATAGGTATGATTTTGAAATTATGTCGAAAGTAAGAGCACATAATCAAGTGATTGATCCCCTTTTGTGACTATATGTAACTAGTGAATTATGTGTCACTATTCTCTCTAAGCATAGCATAAGGGACATCAAGCACATTTCTAGGGAGATGAAGGCAGACCATATTAATTGGGATTTGACAAGTAATATTGTAAGGACTAATAGTTAAGCATGGGCTGTTACTTTACAAGGATCATTTGGTGCTTCCATCTCATTCAAACATCATCCTTACCTGTTTCAAAGAATTTCATGACAACTGGGACACAGGTTACCTTAGAACATAAAAATAGATTTGACACCAGTTCTATTGGAGGGGCATGAAATGGAGAATTCATCAACATGTGTTGGTAGTGGAGAGGTTAAGTATGATTACTTTCTCCTACTGAAACACCCCTTTAAACCAAAGAAGTTGCCAAGATATTTATTTGAGAAATTAACTTCACGGTGTCCCTACCTCAATTCTTTCTAATAGTGACAAAATCTTCACAATTATGTTCTGTCCCAATTTTATTCAAGTTATAGGGGTCACTATTACGATGTAACACCTCATTCTATCCCAAATGATGGACAAATTGAAGTGGTCAATAGAGGACTGAAGAATTACCTCCATTGCTTTACATTAGAGAACCCAACGACATGGAGTGACTGACTCCATTGGGCTGAATTCAACTATAACATCTCATTTCATACTTCCTTGTAGACCACACCCTTTAAAGTAGTGTATGGTCGTGATCCACCAACATTAATGCATTATGGATCTCCTCTTACACCTAACATAGAAATATAGAATTTAATCTAGGAATGAGATAAAATTCTATAGCTACTAAAAGACTGTCTCCAAAAGGCTCTAGTCTATATGAAACATCATATAGATCAACATTGTGGGGATGTCACTTTCAGATAATTTGAGCAATTATCATATTAAAGGGGCAAGAAGATTAGTGTTTAAAACCTAAAGAATACAGGAATATGATGAGTACACATTCAATACTCTACTTATGCTTTTTCACATGATGGTTTATGAATTGTATCATTTTTCTATTTTCTATAAGGATGAGAGCATTAAGATAAATGAGAGGATAAATATATGATTGATAGTTTTTGGAGGGCAGAGGATTAATGAATAATCATGATGCTTGAGCATGAGCATATATTTATTCCTAGTTTCATCATCGACGATAGAAGAATTAGTGAACATAAAAAGACAAAACTATAAAATTGACTTATTATTGTTGCAGATTGAGAGGGGCATAAGGGGCATGCCTACATTAGGGCACATGATCCCAAAAAAGGGACCTGTCACCAACTTACCCCCTCATTCGTGATCACCTCTTCCTCTTTCCCTATTTGGAGTGGTTCTCTCCTACTATGGAACTAACCTCCTCTCCCCTTCTCCCTCAGCATTGCTTGCACACCATAGGCAGGTCAGCTCTTCCCTCCTTCCCCTTTTGATGGTGACAGTGCCGGGCAACAATCGTGGATCTCCTTCCTTGGTGCAGCAAGAAGAGGATCAACCAAAGAAGCCCCTATGCAAGGCTGCTATTCTCTCCCCACGTCCATTAGAGCAAGAGGGAAAAGCCCCTATTGGTTGTGATTGAATTCTTAATTTTTGTTTAATACAATTCACATTTCGTCAATCAATGACCTTCCTCATTTTGGTGATTTCATCATTCAAATTATCATGAGTTCATAATTAATTAATAATATATTTTTAGCCTTAACTCATGATAAATAGACTTGTATTTATGTTAAATTATGAAAAGTAGTTTTTAGGTTGTTAATGTGAATTTGTGGCTAATTATGTGATTTTATGTCAATTTGTATAATTTTTATAATCCTATTTTTAAGAAAAATGAAAAAAAGTATAATAAAAAAAAGAAGGAAGCCATTGGCCAGTCGAGCCCACAAACGGGTTGGAAGTGCACTCAAACAGAGCCGCGAGTAGTGGGCTTGAACGGTTAATGACATACCGATAGGGGCGACACGTGTGCGTCGCTCCCCTTTTACGTCATTGGTGGCTAGTCAAGCATGGGGCAAAGAGTGGTCTTACACACTTGACAGAGAGGCTTATTGATCGTAAGATGTTATGTTATTATATATACTTCTTAAAACTCGTAAAAGAATCATGTGCAACTAAACTAGTGTTCTGAAGCTTTTCAATATTATTAATACCTAAAATAATCATTACTTATAACAACATTACACCCTGATGATGTCACTATATAAGGATAATAAAGTACTTATTTGACTTTCTCATGAAGGTGGGCGATGAGGGTTTGAATCCTACTAGAGCTAAAATTCATATTTTTTATCTGATTAAATTACAATTTTCTTATAGATCATTAGTGAAGGATTAAGTCACTAGAATCACTTAATCATCAACAAAAATATCGTCAATGTAATTCATAAAATATTATTACTAAAATTGTTGAATAATTTTAGATAAAAAGATTACGAATTTATAGAGTAAATCATCTCTAATTGATTGATGAACAAGCCGTCATTGAGAAGAAGATGATCTAATGAAAAATGAGTCACCATCTCTTGAGAGCCTACTAGATGCGATGAAGAGGCTCCTCTTACTATGTGGACTTAAAAATAAAGCTCTCTAAGACACACCCTACCTCCATTCAGCTCATCTCTATTTGGTGACAATTGTCAAAGAGTGCAAAATTATCATTTTTCTACTTTGCCGAGTGACAATAGCCAAAGATGATTCGATGACCCACTTTATTGATTTTTGGACTTCTTAAGAAGATTTAGAAATTCGATGACTGTGGACATTACACGATAATCCTCCCGAACACAAAATTTTGGTGATTATTGTCATGAAGCTAAAATCTTATCTTTCCTACTTTAAACTTAATTTTCACTTAATTTAGTAATACTTTGTGTGATTTTAAGTTCCATAATTATCCTTCATTTAATTATTATGATTCTTCTAGCTTTTACATAACTTAATTTGACTTGTTAAATGGTCTTTAATTACTTATGTTAGAATCACCGAGCAGAAATCTGTTTCCGCTTGATTCATATTTGTCGAGTGTTGATGTCATCAGAACGTCCGCACCCTTATTCTCTTTTTTTTCATGAATTTGTAAACATATTTTATATTTATCATTTAGTCTAATAGTCATAAAAAATTATATTCTCTTAGAAAAATTCTGAAATATTACTTGATATGATCTTACATTCTATGATCAACCTGAAAAGTTCTCACTATTTTTGAAATCTTTTATCAAATTATAATTGATTGATTTATTATAAAATATTTTTAAAAATCTAAAAATTAATCCTTTCTAGTTTTATAAATTTTAAATTTACGTGATTTATTATAGAACGACTAAGTCACGTCACCTATCAAACTACTTCTTAAGTTCTATTGGGGTTTTCTTGGACCCTGTTAATTTTTTGTTGTACTTGAATATCTATCTAGTTTACTCTTATTTTCGTCCGTCTCCCTTCTGTTGGCAGCTGGAGTAGGAGTCTTATAGTATATTTGTTTGAAATTAAAATATATAAAATATAACTTTACATGTTTTAAGCGTGCAAAATGCAGCCTGTTTGCAGGGATTTATTGTTGCTGCACTGATTTCGCGAAACGCAGCTAACACAAGAAACGTGAAGAATCTGAGAGGATAGTACGCCACTTTGCTTCAGCTAAATCAAGAAGCGCATGTTCCTACTTAACGGCCCATATTTATCCTTCTGATGTTTAGCTTCCTCTACGGCGTTACGTCCTTCTCTATCAGAAACTTTCCGTCTAAGATAACTTGGAATCTCGGCAAAATTCTCGGCCTGCCGCTTCTCAAATTTGCCGTTCGAACGTAAATTGCCTCAGGTGAACGCGGGGCTGTACAAAACCCCAGGACATCATTCCGAGGCTCTCCTCATTCGTATCCGATATTTGGTTGGGCAGGCCCAGTCTTGGATATGTCGAGAAGCACGTCCGTCCTCGGATATGTCGAGAAGCACCTGAAGGAGACAACGGGCAGGCCCAGTCTTGGCGGAATTCTCTTTCCTTCTACCCTCTTCCTCAACGAGGATCCGCTCCATCACACTGTCGAACCTGCCGTGCACGTCCTCGCACCTCCTCCTTAGCCGCTGCGGATCGAGGTTCGTACAGAACCCGACGAAGTCCGCCACGTTGGGTGTGCCCAAGACAGACATCGTGTCCTCCACTATCTTCATCACTTGATCCACCTCGCCGTCCGTTCCGGAACACCTCCTTCCCAGGGTCATCTCGCAGATCACGTTGTTGGTGAGCCTCGTAAGAGCCGCCCCAACGTCCACCTCTTCTCTCCTCTCAGCCCTTTCGTACAACACCCCCAAGAACCTTCGTACCTCCTCTCTCCTGACCCACTGTAGCTTTTTCATGCTCCCAGCTCCCAGCGCCTCCGTCAGGCACAGCTTCTTCCTGAACCTCCAGTAGTCGCCGTAGGGTGCGAAGATGAAGCCACGACCCCCGTAGGTCAGGCGGACTATAGTTTCCACACTTTGCCGGTCGGCAAATCACTGTTCGTTGTCCTTGAGAAGCTCTCGGGTGGTGGCTGCGTCGGAGGCCACGATAAACGGGACGGAACCCATCCGAATATGGAACAAGAGGCCGAGCAATGCTGAGAGCTTGTGAAGTGATTGGTGGACGCTGGGGCCAATTAGGTGGAAGTGCCCGAGGACCGGCAACGCCATGGGTGGGAGGGAGGCTTGGCTTGGATTGGAAGTAAGCATACAGCTGCATGATGAAGAAGAGAGAGAAGAAGCCCAGGAGGTAGACGGTAGCCCAGAGCCGGAGGGCCTCCATGTGTGAGAGCGATGAGAGAGCTCAGGCGACTCCGGTCGTTCGCTCGTAGGCCTGGACTTCTCGTCGAGTGTCGATTTATAGAGTTTTTGCCTGCATAGTTTTCCGGTGGGAAATAGAAAGGCCAGTAATCGTGAAAACAGTAAGCCGCCGTTGGGGAAGTCTGCTCCTGAACTGTTCAAAATATGTGTTGACGATTATCTTCAACACGGATGACCAGAATGTGGGAAGGCCGATGGCGGAACCTATGAGAAAGAACCCAAGTCAGACCTTTTGACGGCCGAGATATGAACATGTCCGACGTGCATTCAATTCTAACCTAGTTAAATAAGCGCTGCAACGCAGACAAGAGCCCATGAAAAGCACGAACCCTAGAGGCGCGATTGCTTCGGCAGCGTTGCGATTGGGTTGTTTGACGAAACTCGAAGTCAAAGATGGGAGGGTAACCCGTTCGTTTTTTTCACGAACAGGAACTCTAAGAAATCCCATATGTGACTTTGACGGCCTAGGCTGCGGTCAGCCAGCCTCTTCTTAGTACAGTAACGTGTCATTTTATTATTTTAATTCGAGTTCGAGTCGTCGTATCGTCAGCACGGGGATTTTCTTTTCTCATAAATAGTTCCGTTACATCCTCGAGATGAATTGCGGGTCATCGGATCGTGACACGGGAACCTGCTGATTGTGTTTCGTTAAGGGAGCATTTGTTAAAATAGAAATGATAAAATATGTTTAAACTAAGTGAGCTGGTATCCAAAACTCATAAATCATCTCAAATAAAATATGATCATTAAATTGACACATTAACTCACGATCCCATTGTGTAAAATAATAGTTTCAATGATTTGAGATGTTTAGAAACTTTTTTCAAATATATGTGTCCATATTTAAATAAGTGTGTGCGATAGTATGAGTGGTTTGCATTCATTCAATTATTTTGATATCAAAATCATTAGAAAGTGATAATCTAACATCATGTGTACATAGTACAATGAGTAAGCTTTCATACTCATACTTTCAAGAATGTTCATTGATTCCAATATTTAATTGTTACTTTCTTAGTATGGAAAATTATATTAATAATTTTTAGAATAATTATTCAATAATAATTATACATGATAAAATTCACTCAATACAAGGACTCAATGTAATTGATCCAACAAGATTAATCATATGAATTTAATCTGATTCAACAAGGTTAACATCACTCAACTTCTATGATGTTGTTAATAAATGAGCCAATTCATAAATAATCTTTGTCATTTACATCTTGTAGATGTTCACAAAATGATTCACTACAGAAAGGCACATTATATCATGGATGATTCCTCCGTAGTAAGTCTTCTCTAATGTTGAATACATATGCTGATGTAGACTAGGTCGGTTATCCTAGTAGAAGAAGGTCAATCACTATTCTTGGATTTTGTTCCAACTAGGTTTGTTTTCTTAAAGTGTGAAAATAAAGATTAGGTTCTAAAGTCACTATTGATGTTAATGATCAAACCATATCTATAGAAAGTTCTAAGATCACTTAGGTGAATTTTTTAGTGATGTAATTAGACTTTTATTTCATGACATTGGTATTGCATGCAAACAATACATGTGCAACTCGAATTTCTCCAATGTTTCATAATTTCACAAGACACATTTAATCAGTTCTCATTATATGCATAATCCTTTCGAGTAGAATCTAATATCCCTTACATATTTACCTCAAGAAATAATACTGCTCATATCCTTACAAAATTTGTGACATATAGTCATTAGATTCCCTCCCTATAATTTATGCTTACTATAGGACGGAAATTTGCTCATTTCGATTTTTTGCCTGACTTGTTCTCCATGTATTATGCAAAAAAAATTCACATATGTTAGTCTATCCTTTTTTTATTGGGTTGTATCTTAAAATTACGATGAGAAAATAGCATCTTGTCGTCTTCTTTTGTATAGATTCTCTTTTCCTTCATTTTTATACTTTAAAGTCTCTATGAAGAAGCTTTGAGATTCGTTTGGGACAGATCATTGAAACAAAGAAATGATATCACATTCTCTCTTGTTTTTCTCTCATCTTATGTCAGCTAGGGCACAAAGTTAAATACCTTGGAAAAAATTTATAGTTGCATTGAAGATCAGTCTTGAACCCAATTTTT